TTATTATTTATCAGGAGAAGCGAATTTCTTCAGCATCCATAACCATTACTTACAGAAATGTGATCCATTCAACATCTCGCTGGTTACAGCTATATATATATATATATACAGTATATTTATTTAAAATATATTTTCTCATGTTGTATTAATGCTTGAAATATAATTTGAAATAAAAGGAAATGAGATCTTTTATTATCTATCACACATTTCAAAGGAAAATAGCCTTTTATTGTCTATCAAATTTCAAATGTAAGAGTTATGTAATTTGTAAATTGTGACTAAAATCGTAAAATGAGTTGAATGAAATTTAATCGTATTATCAGATTTGTTTCCGCTTGAATTATTAAAAGTCGATAAATAAACGGGTAAATATATTATCCTTTATAATATAGTCTTTATTTAATTAAAATGTAAAGAGATTCTTTGCTGTTCTCGTGAGTTTAATCTTGTATAATAAACCTATACTTGAACCGTAAACAACGGCCACTTTTAAACTTTTTTGAGCAAATAATCATATAAAATAATCTCCAAATAACAATTATTTTTGTATTTTTTCCTCAGTTAAGAGGTTAACTGTAATATATTTCCACATATAAGGTAGAAAAAAGTAAGATAATTTCACAGTTTGCAAGTTTATCCACAGCAACTTGAACCACCCTGTATATCGATTTGTGTAATTTAATATTGCTTAAAAAATAGGTTTAAAAATTATTTTATATAGTATAACTCTATTTATAAAACTTTTTCCCAATTTATTTATGTTTTTTTTATATCAATATTCGACTTTTATCAAATCAACATCCGTAGAACTTAGGCAAATACTCGTATATAGACCTATATAAAATGAGATTTCATAGATACTTTTCAAGCAAACAAACTTTCTAAACAAGATTATAGCTGTACTGTAAGGCTATATATAAAATATAAAACAAGAATGTTTAAATAAGTTGAAAAAAAGGAAAAACAAATAACAAATTTTTGTTTTCAATAAAAAGACGTATGATTTTTATAAAAAGTTTTAGTTTGAGAAAAAAAAATTTGTTTTGAAAATAAAATTTATATTTAAACTTTGCTTCAACAGCATTTTATTTTACTTCCTTAACAACGAATAGTTTTTTATTAAATATTTTGTGATACTGGATATTCATAAATCATATTTCTTAGCTTTAAATATACCTAAACATGTTTTAAATTAATTAAATTTATTAAAAATAGTAGCATAATGGAGTTAAGAATCTTCATTTTTAATTTTTTTGAATTAGGAGATGATTAATAAATAATCTCTCAATGGCGGATTACTCAATAAGCGCTCCTAGGGCCTCGTCGTCTCGAGAGTCCTGAAAACAACTTATTATTTAAATATTTTATTGTCTTTTTTAAATAAAAAAAAACATTTTATATAAAAGGTCTTGTAACAAAGTTGAGCCTATGGCCTCAATGGAACATAATCCGCCATAGAAGACTCCTATTTCGAAGTTCTGCCAGGGAACAGAAGCACGTGATCACCACCATTTAGTATCTACAAGTAGACACGTGGTCTATGCATGACTATCGAGTGGTGTTCTCAGTTTCAGTGTATAACAGACAAGTTTAAACACGAACTCCTCTTCTTCATTTCATACAAAGCAGCAATCAGTGACTGAATTTTTACGTTGGAAAGTTGCGCTCCCATTAAAACATTATGGGCATTGAAGAGACATATTCAGAGTGTAAGGCCAGAAATAACTGTCTCTTTCTTGTACTATGATAACATTCGAACTTGTTGGAATAAAGAAACACCGAAGATGATTAAAAAAACCTGAAGTTACATTCTCCGTATTGTCCAGATCTGGCATAAACAGAATTCTAGTTATTTCCAAAAGGAAGTGTTAAAAGGTCAAGGCTCTTCGGATGCTGAAGTTCAAGCCGTCGTATAGGAATGGATCGAGTAAAAACCAGAAAGTTTTTTCGTGTACAGAATATAAAAATGAATCGAACGTTTGGTGAAATGTTTCAATCTGAACGGTGATTATGTTGAAAAATGAATATGTACTATTAAAATAAATGATTTTTACTATTCCTTTTTTTAAATTGATCAGGTTATTTTATCTCTTCCAAAAACTCATTTTATAAAAATGAAGACCTTATTTATCAATCGGATCACGTATTAATCCGATAACAAATATAAAAAGATATATGAAACTTAATAAATGTTTTCTTTATATTTTATACTTAATACAAAAGTATATAAATATAGAAACATTCACGATCAAGCGGGAGAAATATAAGTTTAAACATACTAAGAAAAAAGAATCAGCATGAGTTCGAGTATAGAATGTCCCTGAAAAGTCATGACGTGAAAATAATATAAAATTTATTTTGATAAGTGGTAAAAATTGTTTTGTTTAATTTATTGCTTTATTCATATAATTTTATGAGTTTTAAAGAGAAGTGTAGCTCCATACTTGTGACTTAAGTAATCCTATTTCATCATCTTCAAGGTCCGAACTTATATAAGCTTTTCCTTAAATGTATGCTATAAATATGAATTTATATCAATATTGGGAAAAAGTGGTGTTTTAATTCTTCGTTTAAATGAACTCTTTCTTTCTATCTTTCTCTTTTCCTTTTTTATATTAGCAGAAAATCGTATTGAAACCGTTTTTTCCTGTAACAATTATTACATAAAATTTTTCACTATTCTTACCTGCGATAACAACATGTCCTAAAAATCTGAAAGGTCCACCACAGTGCCGCATTATCCTATGGGCAAAAAGGGCAATTACCTGGGGCCTCCAACCAGCAGGGGAACCTCAAACTAATATTTAATAAGAAAACATTTCCTCAAAAAATTTCCCCGAAGAAAAATGAAGTCAACACTGTACATGGGGCCCCATAGCTCAAATTTGAGCCCCATGAAGCTATAATGCGCCATTAGTCCATCAGTATCGAGTGAATTAAACCACTGAACCACAGTTGGTCGTGATTCCCACTTCACCAACAGGCGGGCAACGTGAAGTTTTCCGGGTTTTTTTCACGTATCTAACATCTAGGTAGGAGTCTGTTTTCTATATCACGTGTCTAACAACTGAATAGGGGCCAGTTTACCACAGAAATTTCTCCCCAGAGGTATTCCCCCTTGGCAGATCGCCCATGTGTTGCATTACATTAACCCATAAATCCAATCCAGCACTTAAAAATCTTAAAATTTAGTTTCGATAAATTCGAAAAATAAAATGAAATTCCTACAAACAGACCAGTAATAATTATTCCGATCCAAAAAAAAGGTTATACGACTAATTTAATAAAAGATGTAATCTAATGTAATCAACTGATACGAATAAAAATAATTTTGCAAATTTAATTAGTAAATTTAATAATCAGATGAAATCCATTTTAAATTTTTAATTATTTTTTTTTATTTTAATCCTTGAAGCATTATTTTTATACTGGTCTATATTCACTGTGAATGATCCTGTAATATTGATTGAATAATTAAATTTATTATCACTAATTAACTGTTTAATCTGTAATTTAAACGAAATAAAAATTACAAATGAATTAATCAATTAACAAATTATAATCATTTATGTATGTTTTAACGTGTTTTTAACATGTAATTATAAAGTAGATATTTATATAGTAGATAATACACACCACACTAAATAAAATTTCCGTAGGGACCGTCCATTAATTACGTGTACAGTTTTTGAGCCACTTTTGATTACTGCTGTGTATTGTGATGTACGTACAGTACTTCTGTCAATCCCTTCCCTTAATTACGTATGCAATAGTTCATGCACTTACCATTGAAGAAAAGATTTGTACAACGTTAACTGATAGTTTATTCACATTACTAGCAAGTACGCTTAATAACAAAAAAAAGATCCAAGTAGACAATGCCTCGACCCCCCTCCCCTTCGTGAACTATGATGTACAGTACGTTTTGAGACTCCCTTCCTACCTTAAACTGTATACATAATTAATAAACTGCTTCTTCCTAAACATAGATAGAAAACACAACCATATCTGAGATATTAACAATTTTATACGTATCATGACTACTGAATAAATCAGTCATGTTACCCACATACAAAATTGAAAAAAAGAGGATAATCTTTCCAAATCTTCACCTCGATATTTACAGGTATTTCACGTGCCCTCTTTTCATTTCTACGCACGCTTAGCATCTTACAGAGTTGTAAACTCAAAAATTCCACATCTTTATGGAATTGTTTATCTCAGAAACGGTTGAATTTTTGACTGTTTACTGAGATATATACCATTTAAATGCTGTCTTAGCATACCCTTCTCTAGTCATAATACTTTATTCAATATATTAGTAATTATAATTGATTAAAAAATGAAGCAGAATGGATAAATTTAATAAAATAAAATAAAAATTTTCATTAAAACATTCGCTCTTAAATTTATTTTAGTAAATAAATTAAGTTTTTTTCTTATATACATATATTAATTTATTAAAAAGTCTTTCTGTTGGACAGTATAAAAAAAATTTTATTATGTAGTGCAATTTATAGTTACAATAAATTATCTTCTAAAGTAGTACTAAATAACACTCTTCTTCAGATTTGTGTAACGACAAAGAATCCTAAATTAAATCCAGTAAATGCTTATTATTAAGAGGATTCCCTTCAGAAAAATTTGAAAATGTGTTTTAATTACACGAGCATCTTACATCGTAAATTAAATCAAATCCACTATTCTGATAGGCAGACAAATTTAAAATATTTATTAATGAAGATCCCAAGAAAACATTATAATTTAAATATTTAAAATAATTCAGATATCGTAAATTTTAACATTTTAAATAATTCAATAGTTTGTTAGGTTATTAAAACTAATTAAATTATTTAAAACGTAAAGAGGATGGGAATTTATTCGTGCATATTTTTCCTACACAGATTATGTAGTTTATTGATCCTGTACTTATCTTTAATAATAATTTATGTACATTACTACTTATCAGTTAGTTAATTACTTATTTATGAAACATTTAGCACCACTGAAGGCAGAAATCCAACCGAAAAGAATTGTAGTGGATTCAGACAAATCTGTGACTTTGACATGCAATGTTTCGGGGTATCCTATAGAAGGCATTACCTGGCTAAAAGACCAAAAACCTATCATGACCAATGGAGGTAAAGTGAGGCTGGTATCTCGAGAAGTTCTTAGAATAAACTCTGTTGGAAGAGAAGATAAAGGCATCTATCAATGTTACGCCAGAAATGGAGAAGATTCTGCACAAGCGGCTACAGAATTGGCACTCGGAGGTAAGTTTACTTATTTTAATTCTAATTAATTTAATTCATTTTTTTTTAAATTTATTTACTTTTAGTAATTAAATTATTATATACAACTTAATACAGGATTAATTTTATTTTCATATCTAGAATTTAATAAATCCCCTTTATTTGTAGAATAAATATTAGAAGAAAAAATTGTTATATTTAATCTAATAATTTTTAATTACGTATAATTATGTAAATTTTATTGAAATTTAAAACCAAATTTAGAATAAATTATAATATAGTTTATTATAAACATTAAGACTGATAAAAATAGTTTCTTAACTTCGATTTTTCATTCGTGTGATTGGCTCGAAAGATCAATATTCTTTTATGATCTCTTTGGGGAGGTAAATTTATTGGTTTTAGGAAATATACCGCATTCTATTTAGCAAACATTAGCATATTTTATATTAAACTTAACCATATAATTAATTAGAAAGGAGTAAGGATAATAATAAAACTAACTTATAGGCTATTTTTTAATGTAAACTGGTTCTTTTTAAATTATTTTATCATATATTAATTACAGTTTTAATGCATAATAAATACTTATTTTAATTTAAAATAATGTAATTTCATAAAATATAACAGTAAAACGGTACTTATTTATTGGAATTGTAGTGTTTCTGTATTATACAATTGCTAATAGTAATAATATTTATAATAAATATTTTACAAGAAGTGATATTCTAAGCGATAATTCTTAGAGAATTTAATAAAAAAAATACACACACATTTAAACTAATGATGTTCGTTAAAAACTAACATTTATTGATAATTTAAATGCATAACATCAGATTTTTTAAATGATTTTGCAAAGTAAGATCATCTGTAAGCTCTGATACATTTAAATTAACTTATATATGCGAAACCAGATTTATATTCAGTAATTATTACTTTATATATATATTTTTTCCTTAATTTTTTTCGCTCTGAAGATACTAAGAAGCTTCTTTTTTATCCCCATAATGGATTATCTAAACCCACAACGTATTCAGATCGAACCATCAAAAAATCTCTCAGGAAAGGATCAGACTCGAACCTGGATCCATTAGAGTGACAGATTAATGTCTTTTCCGCCTCCAACGATCAATATCGAAATATGTTATCACTTAATTATGATGCTGACAATCCCTCTCACAGGAGAGGCCATCAGATCTTTTAGTTCAGGCCTCACATTTACGGTGAGGGAGGCCTAAAAAATATTGATTTTATTGAATTTCTTGTTTACAAAGAAAAGTCTATCTTAAATTTAATTATTTAAAATATATAATACAATTTTTTATTATTTAATGTATTTGGGGGTTCTTCAAAAAGGCATTTGAAAGGCTTAATTATCATTTAATTTATTCATTATATTCATTTTTTCTGAATAAATTTTGTATGTTAAAGCGTATAAAAATAATAAGTGTAAAGTTATTCGTATATTATTATTATTATTATTGACCTTCAAAGCTGTTATAAATAGAATAAACGTGGATAAAATATTAAACATTAAAACAATTAAATTATAATCATATCTTCAAAACATCATAAGAATATTTTTTAATAGAATTAAATATTCGTATAATTTTTATTACCCAATTTCTTTAAATAAATAAATTATTTATAAGTTTAAAACAGACCGAGAAAAGAAAAGAATTAATTTGATTATTTTCTTTTTCTATTCAGGAAATAAAATTCTTTCTATTCTCTTATAAGAGGGAAGTAATATTCGATAAATTATAATAAATGTCAAGAATAGAAATTACTTTGCATTATTCCTCTTCTTAAAAGAGACTGATGAATGAGGAAGTGAAATCAAATTATTTCTTAGATGAATATATAAGATAATAAAAGTTAAAGATCTTACTGTCCGTCTTCTTCTTGCTGTTAAATATTTAATGAATTTCTCTTTTAAAATGTTAAATTTTTATTATAATTTTCTTTTTCTTTTTTTTAAAGAAATTTCTTTGAATTTTTAGCCTCATTCAACCTTTAAGTTGTTTTCATTTTTCAAAAGTATATTACGAGACAAATAATTTTAAATNATTATTTAAATATAATTATAATTTAGATAATTTTTTATGTATATAAATTTTTATAGAAATGCTTAAAAATGAATAAAATTTATCTAAATTTTGATTTCGAATGAATAATTAAAATTTACATTTAAAAATGTATTTTTGAATTAATTTTAAAATATTTTATCAAGTATAATAATTATACATTAATTTATTTCCGTAGGATGAGATTACTAAAGGAATTTCTAATATATTTTTCTTGCTATTTATAAAATTTTTTTTACCTGATTTTTACTGAAAAAAGCAATATTAAATGTAAAATTAATTTTTATTTAAACAGCAATTTACATTATTAAAACGAATTTATTGGATTTTTTCTCTTCATAGAAACCAGTCCAGTGTTCCTAGATACGTTTATAGATAAAACCACGCAACCTGGTCCATCGGTATCTTTACAATGCGTGGCCACTGGAACGCCACTTCCTCAAATAACTTGGACATTGGATGGATATCCTGTGCCAGATAACGATAGAGTACGTGTCGGAGATTACGTCAGTAGAAGCGGGAACGTTGTAAGTCACGTAAATATCAGTAGCGTTAGAGTGGAAGATGGAGGTCATTATGTATGTACCGCAGCGAATGAAGTCGGTGATTTACGGCATTCTGGTCGTTTGAATGTATACGGGCCCCCACATATAAGAACCATGACAGATATATCAGTTGTAGCTGGAGAAAATATGGTGGTGCAATGCAGAGTTGCTGGTTATCCAATTGCTCATATCACGTGGGAAAAAGGTAGGAATGTAATTAATATTAAAGATTATCGATGCTTCTCTTTATTAAGTATTTATAGAATATATTTATATATATATTTTTTACTTGTTAAAAGATGGAAGAAGATTACCGACGAATAGACGACAACAAGTGTTTCCAAACGGTACACTCTTTGTGGAAGATGTACAACGAGCCGAAGACGAGGGTTCTTACTCTTGTACGGCTCAAAATGCAGAAGGAGCCACTGCAGAAGGAGGAATGAAAATCCACGTAAAAGGTATTTTTAAATTGAACATCAAAGAAAATTTCGATGTTCCCTAAGGAAAAGATAGTGCTTTTTTTGTAAATTTAACTTTTTGATGTTTTTCAAGATATACTTTACTATTCTTCTTTATATACTTTACACTGCTTCGGTTAATGCCATATTAAATCAAAGAAGTTGAATCAAAAAATAATAAATTTATTTGTATTATTTATAAAAAATTATATATAATTTTACTTTATAAATTCCATTATTAAAGGATAAAAAGCGAAAATATTTCATTTTGATTATTGTATATAATTTAATTAATTAAAAATCTTCTTGCAAATATAATTTTTAAAATATCGCTACGTGTTTAATTATAATTTTTCAATTATTCTAAAAGGATAATTTTTTTTATTAACTACGGTTATTTTTCATTAAAGAAGAAGATAAATTTTTTAAATTGTTTTTATTAAACAGCATGCATACACAACTAATAAGATAAGAGAAATATTAATACTGAAAATTATTATTTAATGTTGATTTAATAAAGGATTATAACTTAATCCTTGTTGGTAGACTCTTAGTTTCGTGTAATTAATATTGCTTAAATGGAGATAAACTTGTTTTAAAAGTTATAAATAATTCAGAATTTTCTAGGTTAATTATATTTATATTAAAGGTCTAGCATTATGTTTCATAATTTATTTAATTAAAATTTAATTATTTAATACTACTCCAATTATTATATATTGGTATGACATAATAAATATAATTAAATCACAATAAAATAGATTATTCTATAAGTTATTGCTAAAATACTAATAAATGTTTTACTTGATATCTAGAGAAACCACTCATCTTTCCTTTCACATTTCCTCCTGAGACTCAGAAAGAAGGAATGAAAATTCGAGTTGTTTGTACTGTATCCTCTGGAGACCCTCCTTTTAGTATTACTTGGTTAAAAGATAATCAGCCTATATCCATGCAAGAAGATGTTACTGTCAGAATCCTAGGAGAAGATTTCAGTTCTCTTACTATTGAAAAGGCTACGCCGAAACATAATGGTCAATACACTTGTGTGGTTAGAAATGAAGCTGCGACTGTTAATTATACAGCTGCTTTAACTGTTCACGGTATTGTTTATACTAAAATCTTCCTTCATGCATATGTAAAAGTAAATAATATGTATCATTTTTATTCTTTTAGTCCCTGCTAGATGGAGGATTCAACCGTCGGATGCTAGTGTTTTAGTAGGAAGAAGCGTAACACTGGATTGTCAAGCTGAAGGATATCCACAACCCCAAATTAGATGGGAAAAAGCGATTGGTATATATATATATATATATTTTTTTTTATCATTTAGTATTTTTTAAATATAAATTAATTAATAATTTCAACGAGATTGTTATTATTCTAGGTGTGACTGCCAGAGATTATCGACCGATAAGTACTAGTTATCATTATCAGATATTTGAAAACGGTTCACTAACAATACAAGATGTGGCTCGAGATGATGCTGGCTATTATCTATGCCAGGCAACAAATGGAATTGGATCTGAACTGAGTAGTGTGATTAGTCTAAGTGTCCATGGTACGTTCCCATCATCTAAATTACATTGATTTCTTCTTTCTCATGAAGAAAATAATAAGAGATAATTATTTTTATTATTTGAGAAATGAAATAACTTATAATTCAAAGAATTTGTTTAATATTTTCTTTTCAACTTTTATTTATTTATCAAGTGATAACTTAACATAAAAATTACAAAATTATATAATAATTTAGAAAGTTTTTATTATAATTTTTAAGTATAAAATTTTTATTGTATATGCATATTTTATTATATCTTCACATTCAATTAACATTTTTATTAATTTTAAAATGTTTAATTAACTGTTTAACATTTTATTTAATATTTTTCAAACGTTGAAGTCAATTTAATACATTTTTAAAACTTTTTAATCATTACCATTAATTAATATTCGTAACCATCATCATTCAATTACATCCTATTGCAGAATTATTTTTAAAAATTTAAATTTTGTTAAAAAAAAATAATAATAATAAATTTTGATAACTTTTATTGAATGACCAATACATTAAAATAATGATAAGAGTGTTATTTTTATACGGAGTTTTACTATCACTAAAGATATAGTTCTTGTTTGAATTACATCTTCTATATAACTTTATAAAACATTACTTGAACAAAAGAAAATTTTGTAAATAAAAAATAATAAATTTGTCTCTATTATTTTCTTTATTTTCATATATTTTCTATTTTTTCCTGTCTTATCGTAACTATTTACAAAATACTCATCGCATCGTACCTGCCCGAAGTAATAATGGAAACACGATAAATGTATTAAATTGTTACTACTTAAAAAATAAATAGTTTGCTTCAAATCGAAAAAAAAAATTCCTTCAACTAATAGATCCGTATCTTGAAAATCTATATTTATCCAAATATCTTTTCATTTATTTCATGGTATGTCATGCAGCAAGTAGCATCCATACATGATAAATTGTTAATTTTAAAAATATGATTGAACAGTGTACGAATTTCTTATAACCTATATAAATGTATTAAATTGTTACTACTTAAAAAATAAATAGTTTGCTTCAAATCGAAAAAAAAAATTCCTTCAACTAATAGATCCGTATCTTGAAAATCTATATTTATCCAAATATCTTTTCATTTATTTCATGGTATGTCATGCAGCAAGTAGCATCCATACATGATAAATTGTTAATTTTAAAAATATGATTGAACAGTGTACGAATTTCTTATAACCTATATAAATACATGTTTTTATTCAAAATTTATTTATTTATTTATTTTTTAAATTCGATTATCTTAAATGAAATCGTTTAGCTTCAGTTGTTTTAAGTTATTCGACAGTTTAGAAAATAGAGGAACGGAAAAATTGTTCAAATGGTATTCTCTTAAGAAGAAATGTAATTCCATCGATCACAATTTATTGTGATAATTTCTTTTTTAAATTTATAATACATTGTATAATAAATAAAAATGGTCGGACGTAGAGAATAGATGAAGGCATCCAACATGGGTGTATCTAGATGGCAAGCATCTTAGTAAGTGAGTCAACAGAGTCTGTTTCTTATAAAACGAACTATGTTATTGGCTTGCTTACTTAGCTGCTTGTCATCTAGACGTTTTCCATGCTACTCTGAAAGCATCTAGATTTAAAAATTCCCATGTGTTAACTCGGATTATGTCATATTCCACGTCACCACCTGAATGTACGCATGGTGGACCTAACTCATAATGAGTATGGAAAAAAGGTGTGTTAGTATCCTTTGCGTGAAAAGAGATTGAACTAAAAAAAATCCGAATATGTGAAGTCACGACCTTTCCCAATTGATTATAGAAAAGACCCTTTTAGTGTCCTCAAGGTGAAGAGTTAAAAAAAATAATAATAATAGAAACAGGTTTACATGAAATTATATGTAGAGTGCAAATAATAACAAAAATTGTTATTTCAAATGATAGATCTGTATCTATGCATTATAACATATAATTAGTGAAATTTTTTGAAATTTCGACTCGTCGACAATCTATTTTTTTGTATAATATATGCCTTTTGTTCTTACAATGAATATAAGAAACGTACGAGTTGCATTTAAGTTAATGTGAAACCTTCTTAAAGTTAAAAGGAGAAGTATTCTGTGCAATGTAAAGGTAGAGCCATTAAAGAATCGATAAAAATTTTCAAAATATAATAAAAGAATTACTTCTTAAAATATTTGAAAATACATAAAAATGTCGAATAATTGATGATAATGGATCGACATGTACACGACAATATGTTTTTGTTTCTCTATTAGTGAAATAACATTAAATTTTAATCGAATTGTTAGTTATTTTTACAAAATTAATTATAAATAAATAATTTATGAAGTTTTTCATTAAACTTTTCATTGAATTTCTAGAAATATTTGCATTAACTTAGTGTCAAATCAGATAACAGAATAAATTTTTTATTAAATAAATATATTCATAATAAATATAATTAAATCACAATAAAATAGATTATTCTATAAGTTATTGCTAAAATACTAATAAATGTTTTACTTGATATCTAGAGAAACCACTCATCTTTCCTTTCACATTTCCTCCTGAGACTCAGAAAGAAGGAATGAAAATTCGAGTTGTTTGTACTGTATCCTCTGGAGACCCTCCTTTTAGTATTACTTGGTTAAAAGATAATCAGCCTATATCCATGCAAGAAGATGTTACTGTCAGAATCCTAGGAGAAGATTTCAGTTCTCTTACTATTGAAAAGGCTACGCCGAAACATAATGGTCAATACACTTGTGTGGTTAGAAATGAAGCTGCGACTGTTAATTATACAGCTGCTTTAACTGTTCACGGTATTGTTTATACTAAAATCTTCCTTCATGCATATGTAAAAGTAAATAATATGTATCATTTTTATTCTTTTAGTCCCTGCTAGATGGAGGATTCAACCGTCGGATGCTAGTGTTTTAGTAGGAAGAAGCGTAACACTGGATTGTCAAGCTGAAGGATATCCACAACCCCAAATTAGATGGGAAAAAGCGATTGGTATATATATATATATATATATATATATATATATTTTTTTTTTATCATTTAGTATTTTTTAAATATAAATTAATTAATAATTTCAACGAGATTGTTATTATTCTAGGTGTGACTGCCAGAGATTATCGACCGATAAGTACTAGTTATCATTATCAGATATTTGAAAACGGTTCACTAACAATACAAGATGTGGCTCGAGATGATGCTGGCTATTATCTATGCCAGGCAACAAATGGAATTGGATCTGAACTGAGTAGTGTGATTAGTCTAAGTGTCCATGGTACGTTCCCATCATCTAAATTACATTGATTTCTTCTTTCTCATGAAGAAAATAATAAGAGATAATTATTTTTATTATTTGAGAAATGAAATAACTTATAATTCAAAGAATTTGTTTAATATTTTCTTTTCAACTTTTATTTATTTATCAAGTGATAACTTAACATAAAAATTACAAAATTATATAATAATTTAGAAAGTTTTTATTATAATTTTTAAGTATAAAATTTTTATTGTATATGCATATTTTATTATATCTTCACATTCAATTAACATTTTTATTAATTTTAAAATGTTTAATTAACTGTTTAACATTTTATTTAATATTTTTCAAACGTTGAAGTCAATTTAATACATTTTTAAAACTTTTTAATCATTACCATTAATTAATATTCGTAACCATCATCATTCAATTACATCCTATTGCAGAATTATTTTTAAAAATTTAAATTTTGTTAAAAAAAAATAATAATAATAAATTTTGATAACTTTTATTGAATGACCAATACATTAAAATAATGATAAGAGTGTTATTTTTATACGGAGTTTTACTATCACTAAAGATATAGTTCTTGTTTGAATTACATCTTCTATATAACTTTATAAAACATCACTTGAACAAAAGAAAATTTTGTAAATAAAAAATAATAAATTTGTCTCTATTATTTTCTTTATTTTCATATATTTTCTATTTTTTCCTGTCTTATCGTAACTATTTACAAAATACTCATCGCATCGTACCTGCCCGAAGTAATAATGGAAACACGATAAATGTATTAAATTGTTACTACTTAAAAAATAAATAGTTTGCTTCAAATCGAAAAAAAAATTCCTTCAACTAATAGATCCGTATCTTGAAAATCTATATTTATCCAAATATCTTTTCATTTATTTCATGGTATGTCATGCAGCAAGTAGCATCCATACATGATAAATTGTTAATTTTAAAAATATGATTGAACAGTGTACGAATTTCTTATAACCTATATAAATACATATTTTTATTCAAAATTTATTTATTTATTTATTTTTTAAATTCGATTATCTTAAATGAAATCGTTTAGCTTCAGTTGTTTTAAGTTATTCGACAGTTTAGAAAATAGAGGAACGGAAAAATTGTTCAAATGGTATTCTCTTAAGAAGAAATGTAATTCCATCGATCACAATTTATTGTGATAATTTCTTTTTTAAATTTATAATACATTGTATAATAAATAAAAATGGTCGGACGTAGAGAATAGATGAAGGCATCCAACATGGGTGTATCTAGATGGCAAGCATCTTAGTAAGTGAGTCAACAGAGTCTGTTTCTTATAAAACGAACTATGTTATTGGCTTGCTTACTTAGCTGCTTGTCATCTAGACGTTTTCCATGCTACTCTGAAAGCATCTAGATTTAAAAATTCCCATGTGTTAACTCCGATTATGTCATATTCCACGTCACCACCTGAATGTACGCATGGTGGACCTAACTCATAATGAGTATGGAAAAAAGGTGTGTTAGTATCCTTTGCGTGAAAAGAGATTGAACTAAAAAAAATCCGAATATGTGAAGTCACGACCTTTCCCAATTGATTATAGAAAAGACCCTTTTAGTGTCCTCAAGGTGAAGAGTTAAAAAAAATAATAATAATAGAAACAGGTTTACATGAAATTATATGTAGAGTGCAAATAATAACAAAAATTATTATTTCAAATGATAGATCTGTATCTATGCATTATA